CGGCGACCGCTGCCCCGTGGGTGATGCAATGGGGTGGCGGCGGTTACATCATCCGCGACCGGGCACCGGGCACCGCCGGCAGGGCGAAGAGGGCGGGACACAGTGCCCCTTTCGTGCCTCCCGGGCTGAGGGGAGCAGTGAGGGCCCACTGCACAACGGGGGGGCCCACGCGGGGTGGCTGAGGGTCTGGCCATCCTGCCTGGGCATGCACACATGCACATGCGTGTGCAGCTCTGCTGCGCACGTGCTCTGCACCCGCAGTGGGTTTGGCTGCTCTTCCTGCTGCCTCCAGCTCTCAGCAGAGGCAAGATGCTCCTGCTCTGGCCGTGGGCCCGGGAGACGATGTGGGGGGTCCCCATGTGCCTTGTGGGGACCTTGGGGGTCCCCATGTGCCCACCCTGGGGGATGACACCGGTGGCTGAAGACGGAACACCAGAGTCTTGCTTCTGGCGCTGTCACCTGCTGTTCCAGGGGCACTTCGGGGGTAAGGGGGCCTGGCACCTGCCTGTGCAGGGTCACAGCCTGTCTGCCCTGCCTCTCCTGCACAGGCCCTGCAGCGATGTGGTGGCCAGGTGGCCACTGGCAGCCAGCAGGCGCAACATGGCACCGACGGGGGCAGGCCCCATGCCTGGCTGGACAGGGCAGGAGAGTCTGGCTGAGAGCGACCCTGAGATGTGGACCCTAGTCCAGAAGGAGAAGGATCGGCAGTGCCGGGGGCTGGAGCTCATCGCCTCTGAGGTGGGATGCAGGGTGCTTGGGGCAGGGGGTGGTGATGGTCCTGGGGGACCCCTGCTCAGGTGGGAGCTCTGCTGCTCTGTCTCTGACCACCCTTTTTCCCCAGAATTTCTGCAGCCGGGCAGCACTGGAAGCCCTGGGCTCCTGCCTCAACAACAAGTACTCGGAGGGGTACCCTGGCAAGAGGTAAAGAGGGGGTGGTTCTGGGGGGTGGGAGGGCACCGGTGGCATTGGGGGTCCTCCGATTCAGCTGCAAGAAAGGTTAAGGGGAGCCCCGGGGCAGAAGCGGGTGCTTCCGAGGGGTGGCTGTCCTCTCCACCGAGGTGTCCTGTGGGGCAGGGTGGGAGGCTGTGGGGCTGGTGGGGGGAAGGTCCTCTGTAACCATCTCTCTTCTCCTCCAGGTACTATGGGGGAGCCGAGGTGGTGGACCAGATCGAGCTGCTGTGCGAGCAGCGGGCTCTGGAGGCGTTTGACCTGGATCCTGTCCGCTGGGGTGTCAACGTTCAGCCCTACTCGGGGTCACCAGCCAACTTCGCAGCCTACACAGCCCTGCTGCAGCCCCACGACCGCCTGATGGGGCTGGACCTGCCTGATGGGGGCCAGTATGTAGTGGGGTGGGGCAGCCTGGAGCCTGCTGCTTCCCTGGGGGCTCAGCCTGATCCTGTGCCTCTGCCTTCCCCTGCAGCCTCACACATGGGTACATGTCGGACATAAAGAGAATCTCAGCAACATCCATCTTCTTCGAGTCAATGCCCTACAAACTTGACGTAAGCCGAGGGGGGCAGGTTTCTGGGGGAAGGGGGGATCTGCCGGCTGAGCTGTTGATCCCTGTGGTGCCCCTGGGGTGCCCGAGCTGCTCTGCCATCCCCTGCCCTACCTTCCCCATGTCCCAACCGCGTCCCGGTGCCATGGGGTGCTTGGGAGCTGCCTGTGGTTCAGCCAAACATGCTGTGCTCAGAGCTGGGGGGCAGGGAGGTGCATGTGCCTCGGCAAGCTGTCCATCTGTCCATCCCCCGCAGCCAGCCACAGGGCTGATTGACTACGACCAGCTGGAGGTGACGGCACGGCTCTTCCGTCCTCGTCTCATCATCGCCGGCACCAGTGCGTACGCCCGCCTTATCGACTATGCTCGCATGAAGAAGGTACAGGGCGGCAGGCTCTGTCCTGGGTGACAGGACCTCTCGCGCCTGTGACGGCTCGAGGGCAGTCGCACCCCACTCATGGCCACGGGGATAGGGACAGCCCATGACTCCCTGTGCCCTGTGTCCCCAGGTGTGCGAGGAGGTGAAGGCGTACCTGCTGGCGGACATGGCGCACATCAGTGGGCTGGTGGCAGCCAAGGCCATCCCTTCGCCCTTTGAGCACGCGGACCTGGTCACTAGCACCACACACAAGACCCTGCGCGGTGCCAGGTGAGGCTGCGTCCTGCCACCCCTTCCCCAGGGAGGATGCCTGCCCACAGCAGGGGAGCGCAAAGCAGAGGTTGCGTTTCATGCTCTGGCTGGGGCCAGAGCTGAGCAGGAAGGACCCACAGGAGGGTCGTAGCGGTGTCGGCACTGCCCTGTGGTGCAAGGGGGTCAAGCCCCCACCATGGGGCAATGGCGGGCAGGTGGGAGGAGCAGTGCCAGCTCTCTCTTGTCGCCAGGTCAGGACTGATCTTCTACCGCAAGGGTGTGCGCTCAGTGGATAAGAAGACAGGCAAGGAGATGCTTTATGACCTGGAGGATAGGGTCAACTTTGCTGTCTTCCCCTCCCTGCAAGGGGGGCCCCACAACCACGCCATCGCTGCCGTGGCCGTGGCCCTCAAACAGGTCTGTGCCAGGGCAGTGGGCTCCGGGCTGGGGGTGACCCAGGCCCTGTGCTGATGTGGTCTCCCTGCTGCCAGGCCAGCTCGCCAGCTTTCAGCCAGTACTGCCAGCAGGTACTGAAGAACGCCAAAGCCATGGCACAGGCCCTGCTCCAGCGTGGGTATACCCTGGTGTCAGGTAATGCCTCCTTCCCCCCGCTTTTGAGGACAAGGAGGGATGAAGCTGTGGTAGATTGCAAGTGGCACTGCTCGGTCTCAGTGTCCCTAGGCAGCAGTGGGGAGCATGGGTAGGTTTGGGGGCAGAGGAGGGGGTGCAAGGCAGAACACGGCTTGGGAGGCGGCACGGGTGAGGAGAGGGGGTGGCTGAGGGTGCTCGGGGCTGGTTGTCGCTCCTCACCCCTTTCCCTTGCTCCCCAGGTGGCACCGACAACCACCTGGTGCTGGTGGACCTGCGGCCCAAGGGCATCGACGGCGCGCGGGCTGAGCGCGTGCTGGAGCTTGTCTCCATCACTGCCAACAAGAACACGTGCCCGGGGGACAAGAGCGCGCTCACGCCAGGGGGGCTACGCCTGGGTGAGGGATGCGGCCTGCTCAGGGGGGTCTTTCTGCCTCCATCCAGCCCCTTCCCTGGGGGGGGGGCGGTTTCCCAGGCTTTCACCCTGGGGCATCCCCCCTCTGTTTCACTCCTCTGAGGACTCCACATGGGAATTTGGAGCTAGTTTCTGGCTCGGAGAGGGGCATGGGACCCCATAGGGGCTGGGACCTGGGGAGCACCTTGGTGGGATTGGCTTCTGCAGATGGTGCCCCCGAGCAGCTCCCGGCCCTGATGGGCTCTATCCCCCAGGTGCCCCTGCGCTGACCTCCCGCCACTTCCGCGAAGAGGATTTCCAGAAAGTCGTAGCTTTCATTGACGAGGGCATCATGCTGGCCCTGGATGTCAAGAACAAAACCAGTGAGTGAGCGGGGCCCCTGTCTCCCCCATTCCTTGGTGCCAGTTGGCGCCTCTCCATTTGGGGTGTAAGGACTGCATCCTGAGCTGGTGCCAGCCTCCCCCCCTTGCCTGGGCTGCTGTAATGTCCCCCCACCCTTCTCACTGGCTCCCCCTCCACCCCCAGGCAAGCTCCAGGAGTTCAAGACCTTCTTGCTGCAGGATGCGGAGATGCAGCGCCGCTTGGCTGACCTGCGCCAGCGCGTGGAGACCTTTGCTCGTGCCTTCCCCATGCCTGGCTTCAGTGACCACTGAGCGGGGACTCTCGCCCCTCCTGCTGGGCCAGGAATACCTGGGGGCAGGGGGAGGCTTAAAACCACCCTCTGCATTTCCCCATTCCCCTTCGTCCCCCACCAGCACCTTTGGGATCAGGCACTCCCTCCTGGGGGTGGGGGGCGGCCCACCCCCAT